ATGGTGGATACCAAAAGATATGCTTAATTTCTGTATATGTTACAAATAATGTTTTTTTTTTTTTTATTAGCAATGTGCTAATACTGTAATTGTAATTATTGCCTCATTGCCTTAAAAAAAGCTAAATTTTAATTCCTGGTAAAATCCCACTTTGGATTTTGATGAAGGCATGATGAAGGCTCATTATTTTCTGAGAGAAAATCTGTAAAAAAATTTATTAGAAGCAATCAAAAAGCACAAAAATCTCTCCTCCAGGCAAGTTGACATTTAAAGCATATTCTAATTTTCTTATTCATGAGCCTATAAAGGAAATTATGCACACATAATTTCTCGATTTAGACTGAACTAGATTTTTCTCTCTCTTCAGCGTTAGGTAAGACATTTTACAGTGAGGCACAATATCCGGTAATGAGGCCTCATTGTAATGCAGTGGCTGGTCAAGAGCCATCACCTTAATTACTCTCTCATCTCATCCCTCTTATTAAATCAAACAGTTCAAATCAAATATCTGCACTGCACACATCTTTTCTGCATCCTGCTGTTGTTGTTATATGAACATGATGACCCTGTTTCTTCAGCCCATCTTCCCCAAAATCAGAGTTATAATCCTGGCTCATTGTGTCAGAGATATTCTAAGGCATGTCTGTACACAAACTACATAAATTCTACATTTTGCATTGCTTATGTATTTATTTTTTTTGCTTGTGTATTGTTCATTTAGAACTTAAGATGTTCACGCAATCGTGTTTTCTTCAGATTGTACCATGAATCTTCCTCAAATAAATGGTGACAGACTCTACATACTGTACGCAGTAGCTGTTGTTTGATTTGAACACTCTTGCTTCCTGAAGAGCCCTTGACATGCAGCGACTCGGTGTACCACATCCGTACGTGCAGGATCCCACATGTACGCACCGTTCACAGCCTGTCTGTTCCCACAATCCCCGATGTCCCTGACTCACCTCACACACTTCACAGTATGCTGAGGTACAGACCACCAAAAGCCCGAAGGCACTCTTTATCTCTTAAAACGAAATTAGGAAGAACAGCAAAACGACAAAGAGAGAGACAGAGAGATAGGGTTGGAGAAACATCTTCATTGTTCCCCTGGCTCTGTGGTCGAGGACCTTGAGATGTTGTTATCTCACATAAAGGCAAATAAGGAGACAGACATGGCCTTGCAATCGGGGCTTTTCTATGGTAGAGAGAGAGAGATTTCCTTTTATCAGTTTAATGTCAAAACCTGAACACACAGGCATTGAAAGTGTCACTGCACTGACAAAATGCAAAATAAATAAATAAAAAGTCAATAACGAGTAAATTAATTGAATATCATTTGATCTAAAGGGCAGGTCATTCTCAGGAAACATTGCAATTTACTGCGTGAATCACAGTTTGTGTGCCTTACAATATATTATAAAATTATATTAATATATAATTAATACGATACTGAAGTGTTTAACTATAAAAACTATTTTCAACTATTTTCAAAATAAAACATTGATTTTATTTCTAAATATTTATTTTTCGCCCAGAATATCGGTCAGTTTGTGTATCCCCGTTTTCTTATGTTACTGTCACGTTGCACACACACGAGGAACGAGGAGACGCTGGAGAATACGTTTACAGGACTTTATTACCACCAAGGAACCAAGGGAGACGAACACAGGAAGACGTTCACACGAAGACGTTCACAGCGGACAGAGAACTTGGGACTGGGAACACTTTTTATACACACACGAGGAGGAGGGGATGACGAGACACACCTGGGATCCATGAACCATCATGGTGAACACCTGGGACAAATTAAACCTGGGAAAGGAACACCTGGGGAGCAAGACACAGACAATGGAACATGGAACAGAGTCTGACAGTTACATTGATTGAAATTAACATTTTGCTATTGATGAATTAAAAACATAAGTTCCTTTTACGGTCTTTATCAGTATTTTATAATATTTACACTTAAATTGGTGTTATCAAGTTCAGAAATAACTCAAACACTGTAGAAACTCATCATAGTGACCATAGTAGGCAAATTTTTACCAAAATAAATAAATAAAATAAATTACTCTTGGAACAAAGTATAATAATTAAATAATCTTGTGTGGTGAGATTATATTTTCTGGCTTCCTCATTAATATTACATTTTGCACTGATCTTCAAACCTGTCATATTCAACCCCAAAACACTGAGATGAGTGACACAAAGTGTTTTGACTAAGACATACCATGAGTTAACTTTTTTTTTTTTTTTTTGTCGGTTATAATGTGATTGAGTATAAAGCTAATACTATCTTCATTATTTTACATATTCAAAATTCTAAGTATATGAATTCCAGACATACTGGGATGGGGTGTTAAAGGTTTTAAAATCGCAATGAAGCAGATGTTTTCATGTGTTTTCTTCTTCTCTTCTTCTGTATTGTGACATACAGACCAAATAACTGGAGAAGACCTGTATGCCCCACCACGAGAAGTCTGTTTTTTGCTGCAAGATTGAGTTTTTGACATTTTGAAAACATTACTTAAATTTTTAGGTCAAACTTTTTTAAAAAGGGAACATATGCATGGATGAACACATATGCACGATAAGACTTATAACATGCATTTACATTTGAATTTCCATTTTGTGCCTCCTGAGGTGAACTCCCAATATCTATGGCATGTACATCCCTGGCATTTTGTGCTTGAGAAGGAAAAAATATGATTTCCTGAAAACTCCGCTGTAACCTTTTCAAATGAAATTATTAAATGTTAAAGATGGCACTGTTTCCTGAGGAAGACCCTTTTATTGTTGTCTCTGCTGGCAAAGCTTGATAAAATATGCCAGAACATTGTGCCCCATGGCCCATCGTGAATATTCATGCATATGGTTGTGTGTAAACGTAAGCGTGCACACGATTGTGGGAGGATTTCAGGCTGGTGTGTCACTGAGGCGTTCTGTGGACGGAGACACGTCTGCGTCAGTGATGTCATTACTCGCTGACGAGGGTTATTGTGGTGCGCATTGCAACAGCTTTCACGGTCTCAGTCAGATCCCACGCAAAGCGCCCACTTGGCTGGAGGGGGGGGGTTTGTCAGAAAAATCCAGCTGCCCTTTTCTCTTTCTCAATCTGTTTCTTTTCCCATTTCATTCTTTTCTGTATCAAAACACTGGAGATGAGACTTGATATATAGCTATAATCCCATTCACTCTTATGCATTTTATTACAAGTGCAAACAGACAAGCAAAATGGTACTGTTTTGCCTCCTCAAAGCTTTTGAATTGCGGAAAACCTGCACAAGTACATGATGAAATTTTCATATATATGAGGCAATGCGTTGACCAGTCTGGTATATGATGCACATTTGCACTCACAATGTATGTGTTGGCCAGTCATATTTCTTGTAGGAACAGTAGTCATTTACAGAAATCCCACATAACTGCGAGCAATGGGCCTTACATGTGATCTTATCCGCTCTGAGCTTGCTAATATGTGAATGAATGAACATGTGACTCTCAGGTGTCTGGACTTGAGACATAACAGCTTTACTTCCATTAGAGGGAAGCCCATTTTAACTTTATTTACATATATAAATTGATTGGCTTACAAAAGTACTCAGAGGAAGTGACTTCAACGGGCCAAGTTTAAGGTTAATTGAGCCTGTAACTAATGCTGCGTTCAAGTCCTCCTGGGACATTCGTACTTGCAAGTTGACAAGTCGTAATTACGACGTCAGGTGCGTTCAAGTCAGTTTAGTCGGCACAAGATGGCGGTGTACCTTCTTTTAATAAATTACAAGAAAATACAACAGGGTCTGCATTTTTTTACTTGGATTTCAGCTGCGTAACAAGAACATGACCAATTTAAGTTTATAGGACAACTAAACTATCAGTTTAAACAAAAATTTACCGTCAACTACAGACGTTGCATCTATCGATTCCGCCATGTTTCTCAATGACACGCCCCCAACTCGGAAACTCGGGGCTTAAAGAAAATTTCGAGTTTCCCACTCATAATTACGACTTTGTGGTAGCATTCATGTGCGTTCAACTCGTAAGTAGCCTACGATCTATCCGACATGACTTGAACGCACCTTATTTTTAGGGTTTATGATGTGCAAGGAACTTAACAGGTGAGAAAAATACACACTAGGTCAGTAGTTCATATATTCAAAGTCTAAATATTAATTAAATGTCAGGGTTTGGTGGTCTGTATATCCACTGCACTTTTGTTGATTTTGGTTGCTTCCATTGTCCTCATTTGTAAGTCGCTTTGGATAAAAGCGTCTGCTAAACGACTAAATGTAAATGCAAATGTGTATTTACAATAGGGCTGCACGATAAATCGCATTCGATATTTAATGCGGGCCCGCAGGTGATGGAGATTTACCGCTGATTACAGAACCGTCTTTACTGACAAGATGCGCATTAAATATCGCATGCGATTTATCGTGCAGCCTTAATTTACAAGTAATATTTTATTTAGTCTACTAGGTTTTTCTCTGCTAACGATTCAATTCAAGTTTAAACACTTTTCAATCACGGGTCAAACAAGGTCAGTTTTCTAGGACATTTGCTTGCCAACTTTGTGGATACCAGCGAATCCAGTAAAGTCTGAAATGTATGTGCTGTTGCTGTTCATCCAACGAGCAGAACATTGTCCAGCTTATCTTGAATTAATATATTAAAGGACACACGCAATTGTCAATGGTGACTAAAGTCAGAGCTGTTTGCTGGGAGGAACGAGGCCAATCCCAAATCTAAAACATGGGTAACCTGCAGATTCTAATGGCTACCTTTCTGCTGTAAGTATCAGATTTATGCAGTTGGCAAAACGTATTGTTTTCACATACTAAAATGGCTCATTTGGACTAGTATTACCTAAAAAAGCAATAGAGATATTAAAATCTTTCTCATGTTTTATTATAAAACAATATAAGCATATGTTTTTACACTTGCAATATATACAACAATCTGTGTTTGACAGTTTGTATCATCAATGCATCGAATGAAACAGAACTTAAAAAACACATTATAGTTAGCAAATTTAACGATCAACAGAGGCAAAAGTGGGCGTCATTTTGAAATGCAACATTCTACCACATCACTTCAATTTATGACTGTAGCATTTTATAGGACCCTAAAGCACGGACAACTTAGGGCAAGAAAATGTAAATATGAACATTTTAACAAAGAAATGCTACATGATTACAATATTCATATATCGCATGTTAGAGGCCACATTTTAGAATCGGTCTCATTTAATTGCATAGGGATTAAGAAGGATTGAGCCACCAATTGCACTTATTAGCTACAGTAAAACTGATAGTAGTACAAAGAAAGAACTGACAGTTTATAATATATTGAAACAGTGAGCAATGAGACAGTATTGTTTGTATACTTAAATCTAATTTGAACATTCTTAGAACATTCAGGAATTAGGGGCCGTTCACACAGAACATGTTTCTGCATTCCAAAACAGAATGAAAAATGGAACTGGAACTGGAAGATGAAAAGATGAAAAGATGAACCACTTTTAACTTGACAGGCGACTTAATAGTGATGCATATGGTGTGAGATGCTAAAAAAACAGCGATGCAATAGCCAAAGATGTCTGTCCAGCAAATAAAAACAGCACAGACTGAACTTTGTGAATGGCCCCAAGACTGTCAACTTGCAAAAATCCAGTTGAGATTAATAGTCAGTCTTTGTTCCAATATGGATTCCATAAAGGGCTTAACCCTGATTCTTCCACCGCTTTAAGGGGAAACTATTCAGTCCGCTTCCTTCCAAATACTGCCGACATGCTCCTCACGATTCCTTTGAACCCTGCAGGGCCCTTCTTGAGCGCCCTGGCCTCTCGGATGAGCTCAAACAGTTCGTGAAACACCATCAGCACACCGTGGTACGTCTCGGCAGCGGAGACCTCGAAAAACCCACAGTCCGCCGAGAGCGCCAGCAGCCGGCCCTCTTCACTGGACACTGTACGTCTGTGCTGGAGGTCTCTCTTATTCCCCACAATGATGATCTGAGCTGTGCTGGCCAGTTTTTGCTTGGCTTGTCGTATGCACTGCACTTGTTGCCGCACCACGTTGAAGCTGGCGTGGTCACAGATGCTGTAAACAAGGATATAACCATCTGCCCACTGCAGCTGTCTGTCGCTGATATATCCCGACTCCTCTCCATTCTGAAACAAGACATTTATGCATCACTTCTATTGCATTTCAATTGTTGCTGGTCCTGTGCTAGCAATACGTTAAGTACTAGTACTTATTTCTTAGTTGCTAGCAAATATCCCCAAAAGTTATAAAAAAAAAAATATATATACATAAAAGATATATGTATATTATTATGAGACACATACATATATTTCCCAAGTATACATTACAATTGCCTTTACTTTATAAAATGAATAACTTATCAATAGATAAAATGGATAGTAGTTTATTTTAAGGAGTTAATGTTAAAATAGCTTGCCCATATGTCATGCAAAACACTTTTAATCATTATTTTATCTCGGAATGTGCAAAAAGATGCTTACCTGCGGGCAAAGTGAGTCCCATATGTTGAAACAAATATCACGGCCGTCGATCTTGTCAGTATGGCTGTATATTGATTCTGTGAATGAAAATAAACCGTTAAGCAAGGCTATTTTACGGCGAATCATACTGGAGATCAAGCGCAGTACGCGATGATGTTTACCGATATCTCCATATTCTCCTATGAACCGCCTGGTTAGAAAGCGCACGGTGAGAGCTGTGAAGAAGAATAGATTGTTAGTACTCTAATTCAGACTAAATGAATAAAGACAGCAGGCAACATCTGCAGCAGAACTCACCAGACTTTCCAACGTTCTCAGCTCCAAGTAACAAAACGTTGGCCTCCACTTTCCGCTGGTTGCCTTCCATGGTTTTGCTGCTGTAGCGAACGCGTGGTTTCACTTGAACAACCATTGGTGGGTAGTAAAGTCTGCTGGTAGACCCCCACGGTGTGCAGGTGTTGAGCATATAAAGAAGCGCAGGCAGAAAGCGCGTTTAAATAGGCTCGATGTGTGGGCGGGGCTTTCTCCAGACTGACCAATCAGAGCGAAAAGCGTCTGTTCTTCTTGAGCTTTAATTTAGTACAGTACGTTTTTTTAGAGCACAGGAAAACATTTTTTTTTTTAAAGTTCAGTATTTAAGATCAATAAACAGTAAAACAGACCCCCCCCCAATATATGGAGTATTTGGATGAAGTTGAGGGCAAGTTCCTTAAAATGTCTAAATACAATGTACATTAATTCATGAAATAACAGTATTATTAGCTATTATTACTTACCACTACTAGGCCTACTACAACTCAGTGTGTATCACATTTCAGTAACGTTGTTACTAGCTGCTGTGGGTCTTGTCAAGGCATGACACCAACTCAGCGAAGGGCTATGAATTGCAAATGCTTCTAAATGACAAGTTGTCTTTAGCAAATACTTAGCACGACATTAAATTAGCAATTCAACACAGACCCATAGCCCTCCTTGAGCTGTCATGACAAATGCTTTTTCATGACAATACTTTAGTAGCTAGTTCAATAATTATCCAGATGCAAAGGCCATTGCCTTTCTGCTTTAAATTAGCATTTTTTTCGTCTAAAATATACACCATGTTGTTCAGAGATCCTGCTCTAGACTGCACTGCTGTGTTCATACCATGAATATCGTTCTGCTGCAAACTGAGTCCTCTTTGACATCAACATACTCTATTAATTAATAAAGAGCGACGCCTCGTGGAAAAACAATTCCGACAATTTCTACTTTTTTTTGGCCAAGACATCTGTCCCCTCTAAATTTATAGATCAATATAATAACCTACTTTATGTTATAATGCATTTTTATATAATAGATTTGTAATAAAATGTTATAATAATCTTCCTTTTTGGTTTTTAATATGTATATAAGTCTTAAATAAAATGTAACAAATAAAATACAAATGTATCCATTCATATTTCAGGAGTAAGGAATGAAATCTGCTCCCTCTGGAGGTCACATTAACAAATGACGGGGAATCAAGCTTATTTTACAAATAGCGCAAACAGAACATTTGGATCAATTACAAATCAGACTAAATCTAAACTAGTCTAAAATACAGTGTTGGTAAATACTGAAAGGGAGTTTTTGAGATTTAATGAGAAGAAAGTCACATTATGGTAATACGGGCCGTTATGGTAATATTGTCCATTGTTACATGTAAATGGACCTCACAGTCACTTTAGGCTCTCCGTGCAATGTGCGATTCCAGTCACATGGACATGTTTTAACTCCTTTATCCAACCAGTGCAGACAATACAGAGATTCACCTTTACATCCAAAAGATGATATGGTAAAGCGTTTAAAGGACTTCACCTCACATAAGAAAAACTGGCAGAAATAGAAGATCCCTGAGTGGTTGTAGGTTTTATATTAATTTGAGGTGATCTGGAAACATAAGCTCAGAATCTGAGTGAGAAAGTAAACCTGTGGCAAATTGAACTTTGGTTGCAGCAAAACTAACAGCAGACATAACACTCAAAAACTCCATTTCTTTTTCACCCCATTATTTAGTCCCAGGATGTCCAGAGAGAAGCCAAATCAGCCCTCTCTTGCTTTCTTAATTTAAAAAAAGACAAATTAAAGTTGGCATTTTTGAACAGTCTAACAGCGATGTCAAATGATGCATTTATCTGTATTAGTGAATCCAATTTACTAAACACTGCATATACAACATGCACATTTTACTAACTGAAGAGTTTTATTGAATTATGGCTTTCCAATTAAAATACAAACATATTAAATTTTAACAATAATTTGCCTTCATATGAAAATGATGCTGATGCCTTTGAAATAGCTCAAATGATAGAGTCTGTGCAATATTTAAAAAAAAATATTTAAAGGGGTCATATGATGCGATTTCAATTTTTCCTTTCTCTTTGGAGTGTTACAAGCTCTTGGTGC